ACACACACACACACACACACACACACACACACACACACACACACACAAACACTTCCTAAATCCCGGTTATTATACACTGACTTCTCTAATTCATTCTCCATCAAAGGAGCAACTATAAATCAACTTCTAATCAAGATCATTTAAATTGATCCAGGAAAAATGTACTGTACTGACTTTTAGTTGTCAATTATAGTGTCAATCTTGTATGGGCACTGCCATATAACCCACAATATCATTTCTTATTGTTTCATTTAATATACTGTAACATATAAAAAGGATTTCCATGTTATTCTCAAGAATAACGTGCAATGAAATACAAAACTGATTCTTCAGTCGATCCAGTTAGTTGAATACCTTTATGAAACTCAACATAATCTTAAAATGAATGGTTACAGGATGTCTGTATTTGACAGCCTTGAACCTGAAGGCCTTTACAGCTATCCACCACCAACTAAGTCAGTATGTTGCACATACTGACTTAGACTTATGATTTTACCAACATGCATGCAGAGTTCACCAACATGTAGGACACGGTGTTTATTGCCAAGCAGCATTTACTTCAGAACACAGTGGCATAAATCCAAACAGCTGCAGGCTAGAGGTGACAGCAATAGGCAGTGCAACTAAAAGGTTTTATTCACATTAAAACAAGAACACATTGACATATAGGGACACAGTAGAGTAAAAAAAGAAGATAAATACATGTGTTTGTAAAGCGTAAAGATTATAAACACTGAATAATTGCACCCTTTGACACCCAGCTGTGGGCAACATTCGAGTATGTAAACAACATGCAAATTGTTCCCCATAGAAATAAATGGTAAATGGTCTATGTAGACTATCTTTTACATATCAAATGTGAGTGTATGTGCATGTCTTCTTACAGTCACCTCCTCATATATTAAGTATATCTGTGTCATAAATAGGTATTATATTAATATTCATGTAGAAATATTGTAAATATGTTTGGCCCAGGTTTGAGACACAGCTAGTCTGTAAACATTTTTACATGGAAATAAATAGAATTACGTGCTTTCCGTCCATAAAGTTGAGCATTTCTCTCATCAGGAAAGCCCATGAACACAACACTGCAGTTCAATGCTGCCTTGTTCACCAGTACACATGTGGACGAGGTAGAACAGGATTTCATCAGACATAGTGAAAGGAAAACGCTCTTCATTTCGTCATAAATGCAATAAATCAATTAGCAATTATTTTTTAAATTCCATGATTAACTTTGATTGGAGGCGCCTGTGGAGCAATGTGGATCCTGGAAATTGCTTCACAAATTAAAATGTCTAAATAATATGTCTGGTCGATCATAGTCTCATCACTCCATTGTCTTCAATTTTGCTCTTCCAGGTATTTTTGTCTTTTGCCGATGCTCAAAATCATTTGAACACTCGCTCAATTAATGTACAATTAGGCCTACGTGGCCTGGCATTAATCCACTCCACTGGGAACAGCGCACATCTGGGCTACGCTAAATACAGAAAAGCCCAACATCAACAAAGTCCATGAAGCTTATATGCTGGTCAGCAGCCCCAACTTCAGGTCTGCTTCTCCGACTAGTGCACTTGAACCTCGTGTGGCAGCACCTGACAGCCGCTGTTCACGTGGGTGAGGACTTTCTGTTTCAGCTGGGCCACTTGATCCCTTAGCAGGCCAGCCGTCGAGGCCAGGTCGGTGTTGTGGCTTTTCAGCGATTTGACCTTGTCCTCCAGCCTGGAGATCCGCTCCAGTTTGCGCATCCGACACTTGGAAGCTGCGATCCGGTTCCTGAGCCTCTTTCTCTCGGCTTTCACGCTGTCGTGGCAGTCAATGTCGATGGGAGACAGCGGGGGGCTCTCCCCGAAGCTCTGCACGTCGGGGACCGTCTGAGGCTCCTCCTTCAGCGGCTGGACCCGAGACAGCTCCGGCTGCGGCGGGGCTGCCCCTAAATGATGCGACGGTGGCGGCGGGAAGGGGACCGTGTCCGTGGAGTAGTTGACAGTGGTTTCCAGTGTCCCGCTGCCGTAGCTGTTCAAGTTGGTGTACACCGGTAGATCCGGCTGTACTGAGACCGGGGCGATATTGACGCACAGCTCCAGGCTGCCGTTCGTCTGCCCGGCTCCGTTCAGCTGATTCTGCTTGTGTAAATCCTCCAACGCCTTCACGAAGCCCTCCGCGAACTCCTGCTCGTCCGTCGCCGCCTTCGGGTAGAGGAACTGGGCGCTTGTCGGTGTCGTTGTGACCATCCCGTTGGACTGGATGATCAGCCTCTCCAGCTCCGGGGAGGCCAGTTTGAGCAGCCCCAGGTCCGGGGAGCTGAGGATGCTATCGGCGTCGCAGAGATGCGGCTTAAGGTTTGCGTCGTCCGCCAGGTTCAAGTTAATATCCTTCTTCATCATTATTTCCGTGAATAAAACCAATATGTCGCACTACTCCCTCACAACGGCGCCTTACCCATAACCTCACAGGGGAAAACAGCAGTGGAAAAAATGACGTATTTAATTAGAATATCTGATACTTTACTGAGACCGTTATCGGTCCTCTGTTCTCGAGCAGGATCTGAGTGAACTGCACGCCTGCGCGCACCGCCTCGAGCTTTTTCTAGGCTGGCACATTCCATTATGTCACATCAGCGCGCGCGCATTGGGGCAGAAATTACGTTCGCCAGACTTTTTATTTAAATAATGGGACAAACCGAGAAGAGAGGAGGAGACGTGAGAGAAGTCTCACTCTTCTCTGCATTCTGGTACAGAAACAGGAGGCAGTGCGCTTATAGGTCTATTAATGTGTGGTGTAAACTACTGCATTACTCCTGATAAAGGATGTTTGGGTATTACACTATGTCCATTCATACGTAGGCTACGTTTCAGGGTTTAGATTTCTACGACTGGAGTTTCTATTCATTTATTTCTTTATTTTCATATAGACCCTATATACAGTATATGAGTGTGTGTGTGTGTGTGTGTGTGTGTGTGTGTGTGTGTACTGTATATATATATATTTATGAATGTTAGGTTATCAAAAACTGCAGCTCCCACACTTAACAACAAAACACATCATAACAGACCTCTTTGGACTCCATTACAAAGTATTTTTCTTGCAGAGGGGTAAAATTGTGTTTTGGTGAATCCGAAAAAAATTTGTTTTTCACCTTGTTGTTATAGTCACGCCTGGGATTATAGTTCATTTTAAGAGCATCCATTTGAGGGATATTATCTGTGTTTGTAGCAGTAACTTCAGAAAAGCAAAATAGTCAGTAAAAATAAAGTCAGGCTTGTACTTGTCCTTGTACTACTGTCATATAGACCTCTGCTCAGGCTGAAGTTAGTCTACTGGTCATTAAGGTGTGAGCTGTCCCTGCCTTTGAGGTCCAACAGAGCAAAGGGAGTGAAGGAGACCTCAATCAGTTAGTCTGTATGGTCAAACAGTCAAAGGCAACATAAGGGGAAACACCTGTGGGTATGTACCGTGAGTGTGTAGGGGCTTTAAAACAAACAGTGGGTTAGGGAATCCATGGCGTTGTTTTTCAGGAAGTCCATGAATGACCATTCAACATATTTTCACAGTCCTTGGGTTTTTCCTTTGTTGCATGTTATTGTTTTCCATTGAAATTAAGCTTGATTCTCCTTTTAACCACAAGCTGAGGGATTGTTTTTGTGTGTTTCCCCCAAAACACATCATTTGGCATGGCGATAACAACATCTGACAACCTTTTTTTACCTTAAAAAACAACTATTATGAAGTTTTTTATGACTCTCAATGTGTTAAAGTCACTGACAAATGACACATTGTGATGTTTAACTCAGGATTCAATCATGCTCAGTTATTTCTCCACAAAAACTGAGCATCTGCTGAGCAAGAGCGTGAGATGTGCTTGAAAGCTCTGGGAAAAAAAGACAATGGGCCTTGTGTTAAGATTTCTTTTAACTGCAGAGTTATTCATTTTCTCAGTAGATGATCTTTGGTACCTGTTATGAGAGGAGAAATAAACTATAAAATATTGTCAAACTAATATAATAAAGTCTGAAAAGTTTAGCATTGGGATTCATGTTTTCATTATTTATTTATTTTCAAAATGCAGTTAGGCTAATTGCCTAACTGCATTATATAATGGAAATATCAGCTTGCACAATACATGAACAGTTGTTGATGTCTCCCCAAAAAAGGCTTACTTCTGTTTTATTCCCTCAGCCAACACATGTGTTGTATCTCTGCACAACATCATTTCGAGAAGTTGAATCTGAAACTCCTCTGATTTCAACACTTTCTCCGGTCTCATGCACGCAACACATCCATCCTATGAAAAAGTCACATGATTATTTCAGTTTCCATTTATGCGTTGTGATTTTCTATAATTTCCCATTTTAAAATGTAATGTCCCAATTATGAGAGAGTTTAAATAATATTACCACTGTTTGTTTTAAGTGGATTTCTTTAAAAGTGAAACTAATGAGGTGTAAATCTTCAGTGGTGAGCACTTCTCATATGGAAGCTCTGTTTGTCCAAGGTTGATAGATTTGGTCATAGTTATCCAGACTATCCCTCCTGCCACTAAATACGCAGATTTCTCACTCCTATAAACATACCATATTTATACACTGTATTGTGTACAAACACACTTCAAGTCCAAGTAAATGAATTTAATAGTTCCTTTAATATGCCATGTCTGTTTGGTTCCCTCCCTTTACATGTTCTGAAAAAAACAGAGAACAAATTGTTGTCTTCATTACCAAACAGTGTTCTGTCAGCTTGTAAAGGGTTACACAGAGGAGGTATGTGCCTCACAGGTAGGCCCCATCCATCGCTACAAAGCTTTGTGTGGGTGGATCACATGGTGGACCCTGTGATGTCAGAGCTCTGAACATTGTAGCGGAAATGGAGGTGGTGGGGGGGGGGAGTAAACCAACAGAGGAGAGATATTTTTGTCTAAAAGCTGAGTATCAGTGTATAGAGTGGGGGTGCTGAGCCTGCAGTCAAGAAAAGAAAAGGGCAGGCGGTAGCTGGAAAAGGATGTAACACACACACACACACACACACACACACACACACACACACACACACACACACACACACACACACAAACACACTGTCATTTCCCTTTCCCTTTAACCACCAGCACACAATGTGAGGAAAATACATTTACAAAGAGTTAAACACGACACATATTATGTTTCTGGAGACTGAATTTCCAAGTGATTTGTTATTGTGTTGTAATGTTGTATTACATGTTGTTAATGCCTGATCAAATTATTTCCTCTCAATTAATTAAAATGTTATAGTCTGTCTTGTTATCAATGAGTAAAATCAAGGCACGGAAGCAGTGTATCTAGCCTTACTTTGGTTAAATAATGAAAATGTATTTTTAACCATAAAAAAATCCCGGTTGATCACAAACCGAATGTAATGAATACAGCTGCTGTTGTTCATGAAGAATAAAACGAAACACTGTTACAGCTACTTTTCAAACATACGGAAAGTGAGAGTTTGATACCTAAAAATAGGGTATCACTTCAAAGGTTATCGTAGAGTTGCAAGAGAAAAAGTTGAATTCCTCCACACTGTCAGCACGGAGTTTATTAGATATACAATGTTTTTCGGTCATGGACCTTTGTTATGTAAGCCAACAACATATTTTTACTTGAATCAAAGACAGCAAAGACCAATAAATACTAGTTAATTAGTTGACAACAGTGAAGAATTTCAGAGAGAGAAAAATGTGTTTCTTTTGAGTGTGCATGATGTATGAAAAAAATCAAGTTCAACATGTAAAAATCCAATTTTGATTTCATTAGTGAGAATGTGTATACTCTAAAATATGTTACTACCAAAATTAAAGAGGACATTACATGTAAAATGGTCTTTCATTTTCAAACTGGCAGACAATAATTTCAAAATTAAATTGTAAACTCGACTTTTGAACTTGAATTGTAATGCAATGCCAGTAACCTATAGCATTTTTAAACAAAATATATATTTCACTTAATAAGGGAAAACTTTGACATGTTTGTGGCACTAGATGGAAAGTCAGGGATCAACAACTCCTCAAAAGTCATCCTCTGGGGAGCCTGAATGTGAGTGCTGAAATCAATGGTAATGCATCCAACAGTTGTCAAGATATTTCATTTTGGACCAAAGAGGTGTGCTAACCAACTGTGCTAACCAACTGTGCTAACCAACTGTGCTAACCAACTGACAACAGACGGTGCCATTCCTAGAGCCATGTCACAAGAGTACAGCTAAATCTTCAGATACAGTAGTTGGTTTACACAAGTACTGGCATATATTGAGCCATCCATCCAGTTGGAGCCGATCCCAGCTGACATTGGGCGAAGGCGGGCTACACCCTGGACAGATTGCAAAACTATCGCAGGGCTGACATAGAAATAGAGACAGACAGACAACCATTCACGCTCACATCCATCCTATTAAAAAATAGAAGAAGAAAACAACAACACTTATTTTTAAATAGTCAATGGGCTAAAATATTAAAAGATACCTGTGTGGTGCTGCATGGTCCTACAGAACAAACTGTTCCCTCTCAATTCATTTAGGATTCCTGACATGATAAAGAGTTCCAGATATAAACATTGGCCTTTTACATGATTTATAGTGTGTCATATGACAAGCTAAATGTTCTAAATTCTTCAAACATAAGTCAACATGAGCTGTATACATTCAGGCCTCCAGCATTATTTGTCATCAGAGACTGTTGGTTAATGCTGCAAATCAAGACAGAAAGTGATGAGCTGTCAGGAATGCTTGGCATCGGTTGAGAACGTTTTGTGCTGTATTGAGCAACATGTGGTTCATCTGTTGAATTTCTATGAATTTCTTGTGACACTACTCTGAGGTTTGAAAGCTAATGAAGCCCAATGCATAAGTTAAGTGTTGTGTTGTTTGACTGGCAACAGGTTTTGCATGCTAACATGGATTAAGTTAGATATTGTATAAACTTGCAAGGCATTCTTTCAAAATAGTTAACTAGATAAATGTCAGGCCAACAATGATACAATGCCTGAATGGCATTTAATGTATGTGACTTGTGTGCTCAAAAATAAAACTGTTTATTAAACACATGTCAAACAAAACCTTATTTGAAGTTTCATTTTCTTTTGCCGCATCTATCTTTCATTTGATTTTGTTACTGAAGCTCTCCATTTTTATTCTTTACAGTTTCTATGTTTACAACTGAATGCCTTCCTGGCACGATTGAAAGGATGCGCTGTTTTTCCCCATTTGAACCAATAACAGGTCTTAATTATCTCTATGACGGCCGGCTTTTCACCCAACCTTCAAGTGTGGCTGTTCAGAACATCAGAAAACACAAAGCAGCCTTATTAAAGGGACAGTTTACACACAAAATCTACTCGGCCTGTGGCGCTCAAGGTGCAAAAAAATACATTTGAAAAACTCAACAGCAATGTCTTTTTCAAGAAAGACCCAACTGTCACTTTAATTAACATTCAGTCACCAAACGTGAATGGCTACATTTAAATTGAATTAAAGATCAGATTATGTAATACCTCAAAAGTGTTCTATGGTTCAATATATTGGCCTACATGTGGAGGGAGGGGCGTGTTCTGTCCTCACAGCATGGACCT